AAGCATTGTGTACTGTCATTTGTTGTATCTTTCTCCATCTAGTACAGTCACTTGGCTGGAAGGAAATCTTCTATTTTGGCATGAAATTCACAATTATTACAAAGCGCACACCAGGAATTTTTCATGGTTTTTCTAGTGAATCAAAGGGTGTTTCCTTAGTTATCTGGAAAATGAATACTGGTGGAAAGTAGGAACACAATCATTTTTATGATCAAGGGTGGAATTATTGACAATAATACTGGAATATAATCTTAACCCCAAGGAAACTACAAGTGACACTCCCAACATGACATGCTTAGGATAAGTGGGAGGAATTAACTTGGAACGTAATCTATGGATAATTGTTATGTGATTTTTGGGGGAAGTCACTCTAAATAGTAGAGGAAGACTCCTAAGAAGGCTTGAAACTTTTCATCATTGTCAACTATGGGTGGAAGAAATGCGGGCAGGAATAAACTCAATGAGGAATTCTATAGTTTGGGAACTTATTATCACACCAAATAACCGCAAGCCCATTGTTTGTAAGTGTTTTTATTTATTTGTAAGGAAATTTGTCTCGTTGGAATATTATAATGTCACTCTTGCCATTCAGTTCTTTGCACAAAGGGAAATATATTTTGTGGAAACTCTCTCTCGTGGAATTTTGGGAAAGAGGAACTAAAAATATGATTTGCGAATTGAATATATTAATGTATTGTCTTATAACAAGCTTCACATCAATGGAATAGCAGGTCATATGGTTTTCTAAATGAAGCCTGGCGGTTATCTACAAATGTAAGTGTAAAATAGTTTACAATATTATTGTATAGATAAACATTCTTTGGTTGTTTGTGCATTGATAAGTCACATTGATGGAAGTGTAAGCTTGGTCGATTTCTAACTTTCATATGAAAGGAATTTGTGGAGCTTTCAATGTTTCGGGAGTGGAAATACATAGAAAATATCTTGAAGTGTTTCTCTATGAAAATTTGCAAATCTGTTAAAATACCTTTGATAAAGGGAATCATACTCGGTGAGGAACTATATTTGAACCCCTGAGAAAAAAAATGGAATAATAAATGGTACTAGAATTAGTATGTATCTTCATTATATTATCATACCTTAGCTACTTGAATTTATGTTGCATTCAAGCAATGGAAGGAAAGATGAGTGGCTAAGGGAATCTCACACATTATATAAGACTGTGGAAAGTGCATCACAACCTGTCACTTGTTCTGTAATTTATATTGAAGATAAACGCATTGAGGAGGCTATTACTGTATCTACGAGATGAGAAATAAGTCCAGGTACACATATTCATTTTTTTGTGAAATACTAATATGGCGCAGGTTCACTGATCGAAGTCAGGAATTTGTTTCAAAACATGGTTACTTATGGAGCTTCATTTACTGATTGGATTTAATATTTATGTGGTTTTGAAACTTTTATTCAACATAGTTATCATCTATTTGACTCGATGTGGGATTAATCATATTACTTATATATGTGATGGAAAACAATTGATGCGGAATTTTACTTGAGGAAGCAAAATACTCAAGGTGCCTATAAAGGTGGAATTACACTCGAGGAAAGAATACTCGAGGCGCCAAGGACAGCTATGCTGGAATAATTAGGCGGAAACTAAATGTCTTTAGTGATCTTAAGTGTCACAGTAAGGAAACATACTGAGGGAAGGTATCACTATATATTCCTTTGAATTTTCAACATAGTTTTAACCTAGTTGCTGACCCCTTGACTAAGCATATTAGTCATGAGGTATTTGGTAAGCATGTTAAGGCTATGGGTTTACGAATATTTGAATGATTGTTTTGGACAAGTGGGAGATGTTGGAATTATGTGTCCTGCAACTATATTCAAATTACTTGTAATTGTTAATATTCGGAATACCTCATTATGGAATTATACATGTATTTATACATGGAATTGCTTTACATGTTTATCATGGAATTGTTACTTGCTGGAATGTACTTAAGTAACATATACTTAAGGAAGCTGGTTGATTATCAGTGGAATACAATATAGTAGTTATATTGGAAAGACTACCCGGGTACACTGATGATTGGAAGGAGCTAGATTGTATAGTTAGATTACAGCCCTAATGTTGATCTACATAATTAGAGAAATTTACACTCTATTATGGCGCGTTGCTCACAAGCGCGTGCTCCGGGGACATAACAGGTAGAATCCGTTAACAGACAAATATGATCGTGGTTGGTAATTTGATCTGGACTCTATTCCGGAAACTAGTGGAAAAGACTAGGAATCTTATATCTGTATAAGAGGTGGACTCTTTGAAAAAACAATATAAGAAGGTCCCTACCCCCTAGCCTCAGATATGTGAATTGTGAGCGGCACCACGGATAAGCGCAGAGGAATAGGGGTAGACCGCAAACCCTAAATTTCTAACATGTATAGCCGAGATCATCAATAAAGGAACACACACTTGATTCATTTGTTGCTTCTCTATTTCTCTTGATCTCTATTCTTAACGTAACGGAGGAGCGATGACTCCTGGGAACAACGGAGATGGAGAGCACAAGGCCACGGAAGACGACGAGTGCCAATATAATCAATGTGGATAGGGGCGGGGCGGGCGGGGGCTGTAAAGATTGGAGCGCGGGGAGGGTTGGTGGGCTCGGTGTACGGGAGGGTATGAATGTGCGGGGAATCAGAGATACGTCCAGTGCTTGGCCGGAAAATTGACAGCGGCCATGCAAGCATGAATGTTGTTTGAAAAGGAGGATGAGAGGACCTTGGATGGTGTGTATTCGTTGCAGCGTGGACGTGGGCAGAGAGTTTTAGAGGAATGCGTTGCCCGGAGCAGGAGATGTTGATGCGTGCATGCCGTCCGGAGGTGGGGACAGAGTTTTGGATTTTGGCCGGAAAAATGAAATTCTAACGAAATCCTTCTGTTCGTTCAGGCCCGGTAGATTTGCTTACCGGCCAAAAATTTTGGCCCAGTTTGAATTTTTGGCCCAGCTCCGCACCTGGTCCGATCTGCGTTGCTCTTTTAAGGATATAAAAGGACGAAACTGAGCTACGAACCCTAAAAAAATGTCGAATTCCTTAACTCTCCTATAAGCGGCGGTGCCGTCCTCGCGGCAGATGTGCTCGCGCCAGCTCCTTATTCTGGAGCCCATTGTCCTTGCGAATGACGTGCTTGCTTCTTCCGTGGCGTGGCGCGCTAGCTGAACTGCACCATCTGGCCCCAACGGGTGCTGAAATTTGAGATGGGCTCTAGGCCCATATAGCAATTTCTGAAAAATCTCTAAGGGCCCATGTGGGTTATATGGCACTAGGTGTAGTGGGAAGTTTAGTCCCACACCACTAGTGAAAGGAGAGTTGGAGTGGTTTATAAGGATTTCTCTTCTACATGCTATTGGAGCTTGAGAAGAGAAGAGGCCCTCGCGCACTCCTCCTCCGCCGCTCGTCACACCTACGCGCTTATTTTTGCCAGTCACTAACGGAGAGTTCTCTGCCAGATGGGCCACGATCTGAGACGTCGGATCGTGGGCTGTCACGGTCTCGTACGTGGGTCGAGCCCACGTCTCTCCACGCGGCTGCGTCTATATAAGTGTGCGGTGTCTCCTAACCCTAGCCGCCACGAACAGATCACATCTGCTCCACGCGCATGCCCACCGTCGTTCCCTTGCTGCTGCTGCCGCCGGTGACTCCATCCCGTCCGCCGCATACACGGTCGACGGGAGAGCAGGTCTCCGAAACCACGCCCTTCTGGTTCCTGTACGGGGTGAGGGGCGAATAGGTTTTTGGGCAGCGATTACGTGACTGCTCCCTTCCGATCGTCTACTTCCTCTACGTCCGCGTCGCCTTCATCATCACCATGTCCACCGACGCCGAACGTGCCGCCGCCGAGAAAGCTGAAGCCGACAAGAAGGCCGCCGAGGACGCCGCTGCCGCCACCAAAGCCGCGGCCTCTGCATGGCCTACTGAAGGGTATAACTCGTTTATCCCGCTTCTACTGTTTTCTGTTTTAGCCATGCTAGCGTTATACGTAGATCTTTCTGCAATTAGCGTAGTATGTGCTAGCTTGACTGAATACCAATATGTGTTTATTTATGTTAATGCCGTGCTAGTGATTTACTCGTGGATTAATTTAATCAAGAAATTGCCTATTTACTCAACAACGGGATGGTGCAGCAGGTGCCCCCGCGTGGGCAGCGCGAGACTTGGCCAGTATTTGATTTACGTGTGTATAAGCAGTTCATGTATCGTTGTTGTTCAGCTTGGTTCTGCTGTGTTCTAGTTGCTGCAGATATTAATTTTTTTGTGTTTATTTTTGTTCAAAATCCGCTCATTTTTTGTTCAAGAATACAAAATTTGGATGGTGGTTTTCGTCCGGAAAAGCCGAATTTCGCCAATTTCATTCTGGGCGGCGGTAATATTTTCCGAAATTCAAAACTTTGGGCGGGGAAGACGGCGGTGTTGCTCCTTAATGGAGTAATTTTTTTTTAAATTCTTTTAGTTAATGAAGTATGGATGGCGTACGTGCTCCTCTCCTGTAAAAACAAGGAAAGGGAGGGGTTTCGGTCGGAACGGCTGTTGGCCTAGTGCCGACGGCGAGACGACGGCGATGGAGTGCTTTCCGATGGAACAAGCTGTACGAGCTCCGAAGCAAGCAGGCTAGCAGGTGGATCGATTCTTCTGCTCCCGTACACAATACACGTGAACCTGGCTTGTACGATCACGCACGTACACCAGCCACCTCTTTTTTTGCTCTTCCTCGTTTGGTTTGGTTCCGTCCGTTACGTGGCAGAAACGGTTTTCCTACAAAAAGAAAAACGTAGGATCGAAACCCACTCGGCGTCATCTCTCTCGTACCACACGCCGACTCGGACAGCTAGTTCTCGATGGATCCTATATAAGAGCAGCCTCCAGCTTGGATCTCTCCATCAATCAAACCAAGCCATCCAGCGCAGGTGCTTATTAACCAAGAGTCCAGTCCAAGAGCTAACGAGAGAAGCTAGCAGATCGACAACAACATGGGGTGCAGCATGAGCCGCCTCCTCAAGACCACCGTCACGCTCATCATCCTCGTCCTTCTCCTCATGCCCGGGGCCTTAGCCGCCACTAGCTTCGATGCCTCACGAAGCCAACAGCTGCCGCTGCCGCGTGGGACGGTTCACGGGCCTGAGAGCGTCGCCTTCGACGGTCAGGGCCAGGGCCCCTACAGCGGCGTCTCTGACGGCCGGATCCTAAAGTGGAACGGCGAAAAGCTAGGATGGACTACCTATGCATATGGACCCGGCTATGATAGCAGGACGTGCACGCCCTCCAAGTTCAGCCCGGAGACTGAGGCTGCCAGGGAGAGCCGCTGCGGCCGCCCGCTTGGCCTACGGTTCAACCAGAAATCGGGCGACCTCTACGTGGCTGATGCGTACAAGGGGCTGATGCGGGTTGCGCCGGGCGGCGGGGAGGCCACCGTGTTGGTCAACCAGGTTGACGGTTTTCCTCTGCGCTTCACCAACGGTGTTGACGTCAATCAAGTTACGGGTCAAGTCTACTTCACCGACAGCTCGATGAACTATCAAAGGTCACAACATGAGATGGTGACTCGCAGTGGGGACTCCACGGGCCGCCTCATGCGCTACGACCCACGGACATCGGATGTCACAGTGCTCCAAGCGGGCATGACGTACCCCAACGGAGTCGCGCTCAGCGCCGACCGCACCCACCTCGTGGTTGCATCTACTGGCCCATGTAAGCTACTAAGGCATTGGATCAAAGGGGTCAATGCAGGCACATCGGAGCCTTTTGCTGACCTTCCCGGCTATCCAGATAACGTGAGGCCCGACACCAAAGGAGGCTATTGGGTGGCGTTGCACCGTGAGAAGAATGAGTTGCCTTTTGGTCGTGATAGTCATCGTCTCGCTGTCAGGGTTGGTAACGATGGAAAGATAGTCGAGGAGATGAGAGGGTCAAAGAAGGTGAGGCCCACCGAGATTATGGAGAGAAGCAATGGCAAAATCTACTTGGGTTCCGTAGAGCTTCCTTATGTCGGTGTTGTTAAGCGCCTTTTTGTTTCTTGTTCTTAGCACCTAATGTAATTTTTCATTTGTTTGTTTTTTCGTCGGAGGGACTATTGTAATCCACATTTTCTATCAGCAAATTACTATTCGTTCTTTCCTCCATATTAACGTGTATAAAAGCTAAATTCAATCTATAGAAGTTGTACTTGTTAAGAGCCAGCCTACATGCTATTGCTAGCGATAGAGCAGGGAAGCACGCAAAGTCCATGTTTCAAACATGTACGTGCTTCAAACACATGAAGTCCATGTTTGGAATATGTACATGCGGTTGTTCCCAGCGCACAAATTAAGTGCGCGCCGCACGTCCATGCATGTGCTCAGCGGCCAAGCCCTTCAAACCAAAAACCGTCTTCCTCTCTTTCTTTGTTTTGACCAACGTACCACCGGGGAGTTCGCGCTGACGCTGACAGGGTAGGTGAGGAGGTGGCCGGGGAGGTCGCGCTCGGGGCCGTCGCCGGCGTAGAGGTCCCAGTACCTTTCGGCCATGGCGTTCACCTTGTGCACGCACTCGAGGCTCTTCGGCCGCTGGAATGCCTCGTCCATCATGCCGAGGTGCTCGTACCACAGCGCCATCCTGAACCCGTGCATCTGCCCCCTCGCCGGCCGGCTTGTCGCCAGGTGGCCCGGCTGGTACCCGCCCATGGCGATCTCCGAGTCGCGCGCCCCGTCCATGGACCTCTGGTTGTGTTCGCGGACACCACGATGATGTACTCGTCGTCCACTGACAATCAAACACACAAACCATCAAGAACAGCCCAAATGTGTCTACCAACATGCAGTACGGACGTACCGATCATCATCTTGGTGTGGACGTAGATCATGAACCGGCGGTTCTGCTGCGCCTTGAGGGCTGTCGGGCACGGCCTGCTCCGACGGCTGGTACTCGCCGGACTTCTTGGCCTCCCGGTTGCCGAGGCAGAAGAAGGTGAGGTAGTCCTTGGGTTTGGTGTCGATCCCCTTGGCCTGGATGGCCTGCGCGATGTCGCTGTACATCATCTCCTGCATCCCACCAACATCAACATGCATGCAGTGCAATGCACCCCACCAACATGTCCTGCATGCTTCGATCGGCGAGTTCCGCGCTCCAGCTCCCCGCCCACCTTCACGTGCATAAGGATCTTCCTCGTCGTCATCTCGGACGAACATGCACGGCCCCTGTGGACTTCCCAGCCAAGCACCATCCGTACATACTATGTATCTCCCATTCCACGCACCCATACCGTCCGTACCCTTCCTACACCGCCCACACCCGACCCTCCCACGCTCGATCCAGCCTTCACAGTGTCGTCCGCCCGTATAGACATTATATTGGCTCTCATCGTCGTCCATTCGTCCCCCCCCCCTCCCCCTGCGAGAAGAGAGCGACCTCCCTTCCCCTAG